ATATTTATGTATGAAAATGTTAAACCAATCAAGGCAATTTGAGTGATAATCACAATGAAATGAAAAAGGCAAAAGTACAAGTGGATAGTAGGAAGATAGGTGAACCGATAGTAGTAGGACAATTTATAAAATATGAAACTCATGAACAGTGACAATGGACTGATGTTTTGCAACAGGAACAGCCCAGTTCGATATGATGGATTGATATTTTGCAAATCAACGAGTTACGATATGTTTTTTCTATTTTATCAATTAACTCTGTAATTTGAGATTAATACGATTCGGTTACCCTCACCGGGGTTCTTCTGCACGACTATACTAGACGACTGTTTCGTCGTCGTACGGGACGCATCAGCACTACGCGCCCACAACTCATGCTACTCGCAGGATTCGACCACATGACCGTTGGTCTTGCTGATGAACTCTCAACCTCTGTACCATAGAGCCGTCATCTATCGGTGTTAATGTCACACTCTAATCAACGATCAAAGGATGTAATCAAGTGGAGAAACGATCAGTAGACTTTATTGTAGAGCTAATAAATATCAAAACGCTACTTTGCATGAATACACTGACAACTTTGAAAATCAAACTTGAATAAAACAGCATGGAAAATATGTCTTAGTAGTTATGTGCACATAGATGCGATTATTTATTTCTTGCAGTGAGCTTATTTAAACAATTAATAGAAATTCAAAACAGTGGTTCCCTTTGATAAATTTGGATAGAGAAATAAGAAGACATATTTTGTGAGATAGTACCATTTCGTGCTTTCTCGTCAGCCACATACAAACAACATGTTATTCGCGTAAATACAGTTTTGAAGATAAAGTCAAAATTTCTTATTTAGCATGACATTCACTCACTAGAACCATGGTAAACAAAGGTCAACATACAGTTGTTTTTGAACACATAAAGTTGGACTTTTCCGACCAATCAAGATAGCTTCGAGTAGTTTGAGTGTGTGTGGGTTTTGATGACATGTCACAACTCTAAAGGCTGATTTTGGGTCAATTTGACGACCACTCATCATTAGATGTTTTGCAATGGACGAGGCTGGGTTTCTTGATCGATTTTGAGATGACGGGCTAGGTTGATGAATCATGGATTTGATTAACCATTTTGGAATATGTACCCCTATCCTGTCTTCCAATCGGCGATCTGTCCTCCCTAAGTAACTTTCTAAACAGTTACATGTGAATTGGTAAATACAGTGGGATTTGGACTGAATCGGTCTTAGAGACTTGATTGGGGTAACTGAGATCGATTGCATTTACACAAATAACATGTTGTTTGTATTTGACTGACGAGAAAGCACGAAATGGTACTATCTCACAAAATATGTCTTCTCATTTCTCTGTTCAAATTACTAGAAATCAAGAAGCATCAGCCTGTTGTTTTGACTAGTATAGAGTCGTTTGATGGATATGTCTCCGTGAATTCAATACTGGACCGTTAGCTCTCGTGATGAGTGCCTTGCGTTTTAACCACTACGTAGTCATTAAATGGCTTACATTTCGCTAACTTTTATCAATTTATGCTGTTTATGATGTAGACTACAATTTCCGCAACTATCTTATATACATAGTATCGTTTAAAGTGTACTAAGTAAGGATGGTAGATCAATAGATGAAGTATTGAAACTTCATCAGTTGAGGTGATTGAGACATGTTGTACGTATGACCGACCACCGACTGCTCCGACGAGCAATGTTTTGTGGTGAAGGATTAGGTTGGAAGAAAGCTAGGGGCGGCCAAACTAAAACATGGCACAATACCATGAAGCCACTAACAAATGGACTGAGTTATGTTGGTAAGTGTCGACTACTTGGTTGGGTTGCAATGGCGCAGGTACATCCACTCGTTATGTTCTCTCAAATCCTAATCTTCTGTAATCTTCAACACTTCTAACTTTGTCTTTCTAAACTTATCTCACTGAATTATACTTCTTGAACAATATCCTCAAACCCTAAACTCCTCTATTACCAGTAATACTTCTACTAACTGATTGTTGCGTCTGTGTGTTAATGTTGTATGGCATCTTGAACTGCTGCGCCTATGCATTAAGTTCTTCGTTGCAACTGACTGCCTGACTCAAAAAGTTTGCTCGATTCCCTTCTATTTTTCATATATTATGCTTCTAGAAAAGAATTCAGTTAGGATTGAATGTGAACACTCAACAGGACGATGTAGTAAAGATTTAAATGAACTTAACAAGATTTGAAAAAAAAAAACAATGTGGTAAGTAAACATTCAAGTTAAAAAAAACACGGTAAACGTGTAGTATAAAGAGAGGAATTGAAAACAATCCTTACGAATTTACAATTATTTTCCAGCCAATGAGAAAACAATTTTTTATAAATCCATAGTTTATAGCAACGAAAACAATGATACTGTGAAGTGTAAACAAATGTTATTACACTAATCAGTCTACTGATGTCTTTATTAAGTGAATCTGATTGTAATCCGAAACAACAAAGACGCATAAACTGGTCCTTGTTCATAGAGATTGTCCATAGTTTCAAGATAATGTTAACAATGAAGGGTTACGACTTAGGGTGTAGAGTTACCGTTTTCATAACAAACTACACGCCACCAATGATGTAAACATACTCTTATGGTGGGCAAAGTTTAACTAGTTTCGTGACGGTCAGTAACCAACGTGTTCTTAGACTTTGTATGCTGCTAGTCCAGGACAATCGTTACTAAATATCGCATCTGACGGTTTATAAATCAGAAGGTGAACACGAAGCGTTGAATACGTTTATTTTGGCACACCACAAGCACGCAGAGCAGGGCAAACACGCTAGCGAGTGAGCGGATTGGTGAACCGGCGAATGAAGAAGATTAAGATGTACATATATATATACATAGAAATATGGCTGAGTCATCGAAATATTCAAGAGGCTAATTTTAAACCGAATAGGATGAATATTCGCGTATGCCGTAAGCAAAGTTCAGGCATACTGGCTTATTTAAAACCAGACAATAGTAAGAACCAATAGTACATATAATTTGTTGCTGTACAAGTGGCTTGATCAAATAAATTATTTGAAAGGCTTAACCAAATTAAATATAAACAGACTCAAGTGTATGTGGAAGCACTAAAAACATTCTCATCAAAAATTTTACTTTGTGCAGTTGTAATGATTTTTAAAACTAATGATAATTTCGAGTGAAGCTGATAATCAAGTTCTAATTTCAAGAAATTCATATTTGTTTACGTTTTGACATGAATTCTAATTATGTTTTGTCTTGTGTCATATAATTTGTAAACAGATCTGGTATCTTTTGATATAACCAAAAAATAATTGACATTTTACTGAACAGTTAATTTGTTTACTCGATATTCATTCACTAAGTTATTGCGTTTTTAATGAACGAGTATTTGTGGGGATTGTATTATTTCCATAGCCGAAATCACGGACTGATCTAAGCTGGACCTTCATTAGAAACCTGTTAAATGATACAGGATTCTGAGTTCACTCGAACAATCGAATATGCTGTGGTATAAGTCTTCCATTTAATTTTCGTATATTGTTCTTAGGCGAGTCCTGCTTGCGCGATAGCGGTAATTAGAAGATCAATACAGCTTATTTTGGATGAATATACTTGATTCTGTCGCTTAAACAGACACATATAATAATGAGAAGCATCAAAACGAAGTGAAATTCTGCCAAGCAGAACGGACAAAGCGAGTGTGGTTACTCATTGTCTTGAGGCATGACTATGTATTTAAAGTCAGGCAAAAAATAGTCTAGACGTCTGACAAGCGAAGTCAATGCACATAAGCTATCGAACGGATAAAATCAAGGCAATAGGCGAATAATTGACAAGGTCGAAAGACCTGTAAACAATAACCCTGGAAGAATAGATTAATTAATTTGTTCAAAAACGAAAACAAGCCATTTGGGCTTGAAACATACTACATGCTGAATGAACTGAACTACCGTTTCGTCTTAGTATGAGATTCATTCGTAGTGCCTGTCAACGACCCTTCGAGCGAGAATCCAACCGACAAGCTTCGGTCTCGCTTGCGGACGCCTAACCTCTATACCAATTAGTCGGCATCTAATGGTGTTGAGGTCTAACTTCAGTCTATCCATGGTTTTGCGCGACCTACATCCATTGCCCACGTAGGATAGTTGTTTTATACCAGACATGGATTGAAATTCACTGATCACGAATTCTCACTAGGACCCCATGAAGACCTCACTGAGCGAGTCACTAGTGAGCGCTTCTTGTGACGTTGAACCTGGTGATATTCTGAAGTTAATGCTTGTTTCATTACTTTCCACTTGTTCTCTATGATAGTTTCCTCTCCTTAGAGTAGATCGTGAAGGATCAAAACCTACTGTTAAATGCTATTTTGAATTCGTTGAAATTGTCAATATCGCGAAGTAAGACCGTATTCAAATTTTGTTGTGTCGTTTGACATGTTTTCCAGCGTTTCTTTACCATGAGTTTCATTTCAGACACTAGCAAGTGGAGATCTGAAATTTTTTTCATATTCCCTCTAAGTTCTTGTGTCTTCTATCATCCTTCTGACCTTTTATTGATGCAGATGTGGTCGATTTGGTTCTGAGAAGTGTGATCCGGTCAAATCCATATAGCTTTTTGTATGCGTTTGTGTAGGAATATGCTGCCGCCAGTTTGTTGAAGGCACATATGCTTGTAAATCTCTCACCGTTGTCATTCCTTTCTCTCAGTCCATATCGTCCCATGCTGTCTCCATATTCGATGTTGTGCATGCCAAACTTGGAGTTTAAGTCTCCCAGCAGAATGGTCTAATCCTTTGATGGGCAGCCTTTCGTAGAATTGATCCTTAACGTCTTCAGTGTAGTTATTGGTAGGTGCATAGCATTGGATGACATTCATTGTAATGCACTCTTTATTTGTTTTGAAGGATGCTTTGATGATCCTTTGTCCATGAGATTCCCATCCTATCAGTGCCGTTTATGGTTGTTTTGAAAGCATCATTGCGACTCTTTGTGTGTGTGAGGCATTTTTTTATTCATGGTCGGAGTACTACAGCAGCTCTATTGTAGCTAGTCTTCGTTATCTGACCTGCGTCCAATATGTTTCTCTGATCATACGTACCGATGGGTTGTATCTTTTCAGTTCTTCAGAAACTTGAACAACTTATTGGGTCTCCTACAACGTCCGAACACTCCACGAACCTATGTTTATGACTGGTCCTGTTGTGAGAAAGAGCGTCGTCCGAATGAATTCAGAAGAAACAGGGCTTTCATCATGAAGTATCGTAAATCTTCTAATTGAAGACATTCGAAATGAAAGTGAAGATTTTAAATGGTTTGAATTATTTGTTCTGGTTAACGTTTTTTAAACGGAGTGGAGTCACCAACCCTATACCCAACCCTCCTTTATCTGAGCTTGAGATCGACAGTCAGGGTTGGTGATGTGATATCTCCAGTTATAACTTATGAGAATCAAATTAATAAAGGTTAGATAGAAATTCTGTCTCAGTTTATTATTCAGCGTGTGTACTGTTAATGGAATTTCGATACATTTGAATGATAATTTGTGTCAGTCATTTATACTCATTTTTTAAATAAATAAAAAATTAATGTATTTCTATTGATTACACTGGGTCAACATCAAGAGACTTTATTTACAAAACATGCCGTTTTACTATAATGAGACTACAACATTTGAGTTTGTTTAAGCCATTTTATTAATTTGTTTAATAGACAGTCATTCGTATTGCGTTTGTATGAGCAGTTATAGCTGAGCATACATTTAAATCCTATTCACGTGCTCACTGGAGCTGTCAATCGCTAGCTTGCTCTTCGGCACTCTCAAGTCATTTTCAGGTTCACGTCGTATACCTGTAGTTTGATTGATTTGTTTGTGGTGTGATAATAAACGTATTTAACGCTTCGTATTCATCTTGTGATTTATACGCTGGTTATCAGGACGAGCAGTAAACGAAGTTTAGGAGTATATCAAATGCTGACCGCCACAGAACTGCTGAGGCCACATCCACTACAAGACAAAAACAGAGGAGGATAGAAATATTTCCGCTCTGAAGTTTTAAAGTCGGAGCAGCGAATTATTAGCACACTGCACAAACGTACCAGTCAGTAACAAACATCTGTATGTAGGCGGAGAAGAGTTCAAATTAGAAACCTATTGGCTGGATATCACTTATTTAACGAATATTCTAATTAGTGGAAAAAAAAGTCAGAAATTAATTAATTAATATATATAACCCATCTGTAACAAATGATGTAAGACTATGTGAAAAAAAGTATTTCCCACTTTTTTATAATTTGACCAACTAGAAAAACGATTGATCTAGACCATGAATTGTTGCATGAAAGTTAGACAATGTGTTAATGAATGCTATCACCACAAGGTTTGATCGATTTTACAAAGAAAAAATTGCATGTATTTTTGATTGTACTACAACCGCAACCAGTCAGTGTGCACACAAAATTTATTGTTAATTTAATGCCTCAGTGTTTCAGTGTTTTTTTTATGCCAAACAACAAGTGAATTAATTGAGAATAAAAATGTTTGGAATTTTACTTGATACTATTTATCTAAAAATAATAAAACAATGTTGAATGTATTCATTGCAGTTATTGATGTAATTATAAGATCCCTAGTAAAACAAAATGATTGCCACTAGGTATGGATAGCAGATCAATAGATGAGGTGGTGAAACTTCATCAGGTGAGGTGGTTGGGACATATGTTACGCATGCCCAAGTATCGACTACCTCGATGAGCAATGTTTCTTGATGTAGGAGTAGGTTTGAAGAAACCTTGGGGGCGGCCAAACCAGAACATGGCACAAATTCATGAAGTCACTGACAAGTGGACTGAGTCATGTTGATAGATGTAGGCTACCTAGTTAGGGTCCGAGAGACGCTAGTAAACGATGGTTAGAAACCTTGAACGATAATGCTGAAAATCGTTCGCAATGGCGCAGGTGCATTCACTCTTTGTGTTCTCTCAAATCCTAATCTTCAGGATTCCTCATCATCTCTATATTTTTCTATCTAAAGTTATCTTACTGAATAATATCTTCGAACCCTAATCTTCTACATAACCACTGAGGGATTTGAACTGACAGTTGCGTCTCTGTGCTAATGTGGGTATGGCAACCTGAATTGATGTACTCATGTACGAAGTTCAACGTTATAATCGACTTTAGGAACAGTAGAATAACTACACTGGATAGTTAACATGATCATGTTTGTTCGGTAACTGGCTTCAAGCATGGTTTTATTGACTAGTGTGAAGTGTTGTAAATGTCTAATGGCAAGAAGTAGTCTGTAAGAAAACCTGCATGACTGACATTGTCACAATCGATGCATTCTTGGATAGTGAGCATATCTGCCCTTATCGGTTTCTATCAGTCTTGATTACAATGTGACTACCAGTCTAAATGTCTTGAAATCATGTTCACTACATGTGTACCAGTGGTATTGTAGGCTTATATCAGCCTAAAATGCTTTATGTGATTTTCTCCACTGTAGTACAAGTTTGAATCCCATGAGTAGTATCAGCTGTTTTAATGATGAGTGACAGCAAGAATGCATTGAAAGTTCAAAAGTTTTTGACATTTCTCTGTGAGAAAACAAAATACAACTAAAACTGGTATATATATTCCATAAACCTGGAGTTTGAATTTGTGTTCAGATATCTGTAGTCAGCCTCAGTATGATTTGGCTATTTCTGGGAAGTTGTATAACCTAGTCGTTTGAATCTTCCAACTGATCGTTTGGACTGAATTTGATCAGTCTCATTTAAAATATGTGCATTCTGTGCGAATTGCTTCGATACAACCTTGAAGTCACAAACATCATAAGCAGATATGAATAGTGGCTAGGATGCATGTTTCTTCTTATTTCGTCCTATTGCAAAGTTGTCAAAACTCAATATCTATGTGGATAACACGAGGGTATTTGAATTAAAAGGAATCGGATTCGAGTCCCAGAGTCAACAATGACTCTGTAATGCAGATGCATCCAGCTGATGAGTTCAAAAGAGGACGAAACGCTAGCTACTAATTATCTGTGCTAATAATTACAGTAATCCATGTACATTTAAATTCAATCGGTTAGTGATTTCTTGTATTTAATATCATTTACGAGTGAAATTTAGAATTACCCCATAGACCACTCAAAGATATTGTTATGCTCGTCAACTGATATACTTGAATTGTATTATGAGTTCACTTTAG